TATTCTGACAATGACCATGTGTAGTAGGAATGTGAGGATGGAGGGTCCTCTATAGGTTCCAGAGGCAGAGGTTCCTCAAAAATGTAAGGAAGTATTTTAATCACTGTAGTTTTTCCTTTATGGAAAGTGTCAAAGAAAACTGATACTTCAAAGAATACCACATATTAAGGTCAGAAACACAACTTGAAACAGGTCTGACTAAATGTGAGGGAAGTATGTTAAAGTTTGGCTTCAAGTCTTGCCTTGGAAAACTGGGAGTTTATGGGGGTTGTTATTCTGTACATATGTTTCTGTTATTGCTTAATAAATAAAACACTGATTGGCTGATTGGCCAGGCAGGAAGTATAGGCAGGGCTAGGAGATGAGGAGAATTCTGGGCAGAATGAGTCCGTGAAAAGAGAATGTACAAAACATTCTCAGGTAAGCTAAGACCACGTGGAAATACACAGATTAATAGAAAGGGGCTAACAATTAAAACAGTGCTAGTCAATAAGAAACCCAGGACACTGAACAACAGTTTAATTATTAATATAGGTCTTGTGAATTTATTTGGGTGTCAAGGGCAGCAGGACACTACCAGGCCAGAAAAACCTCTCCTTACAGGGAGTTGTAGATGAATTGCATCCAACCTGTTATATGACAATGTTCAAGAGAACAGTCCTGTTCATATTATATTATATGAAAGTTTTTACTTAAATGCACAAATTTTTCTAGGTATTAGTTTTGCTTTTCACTATGCCTTGCTTGTCTCCTGTCTCTTGTCCTTTTGATAGCATCTCTGTCATGTCATCTCCCTGATCTCTGCCTTTTAGCAGTTCATCATTTTTCCCTTTTCTGCCATTTACACACCGTAATCAGTCAGACACATTCTTACCCTTTTAGTTAGTTAACATCTGTGCACATGTCTGTTTAAAATTTTGTTTTCTTCTCTCAATATATGTTTTTATTTAAATTAGAAACATGCATGCTTCACATGTCAATGCTAGCTCTCTCTCCCACCCCTCCTCCCTTGTCCCTCTACCAGTGCCCCCAACTCTCCACCCAATCCCCACAGCATTGTTCATGGAGTGTGATGCCCTCCTTTGGGGGATCTCCAGAGTCTGTCATTTCATCCAGGGCAGGACCTAGGCCCTTCCCCATTTGTCCAGGCTGAGAGAGCATCCCTCTCTCAGACTGCTTTTCTCTATTCTTACCTCAACTCAACCTTACTGTTGCCCCATCCCTTCTTCTCCCCTCCTCTTATCCCCCTCTCTTTTTCCTGGTTCACTCACCCCTTCCCCAATGTTCCCAATCTGCTAAACTTATTTTGCTCAAAACATACCTTATTTCTTAAGACAATGTTGCATGTAGCAGAGTCTAGCCTATAGCCAGCTATCTAATGGAGAAAGACCTTAAATTTCTTAATCTGTTTCCATCTCACTAGCATTGGAAGAGTGTATGGTAGTGTTTAGCTTTAAGTGTTAATGGGGATTGAACCCAGGGCTCTTTGCATCCTACACAAGCAGGAGACAAACTGAACTTCATTCCTCATTATCAGGGAGGACATTATTGACTGCATCTTTCTTCCTAGTACACCTTAATCTTGTTTCTTTCTATTTATCATGTACCCGTCTTGTCAGTCTTTCCCGTTTTATACACATGCCTTTCATAATATATACATTCCTACAAAGGTTTTATTTTTATCTTATTCATGGGTGATAATCTAGAAACTCATAGAATGCCAGTGATAACTATGTAGTATATATTTTTCACTTTAGTGAAAATTGTGGTTTTTGAGAAAGAGCTTTTCCTCTAATACATTTGACTAGATAGTCCAGAAACCTAGAGTAAAACTAAATACTACTGGTCTAAAAAGAAAAGTAACTTTAAAATTATTTCTAAAAACATTCTGTTATACTTAGTGCCATATTTAGCCACTGTTAGTATAGCTCTCTTCTGCGGTAGATTAGAAGAAATACAAAGACCCACAACCAGGTAATTATTCAAAGAGAAAAACCTTGAAACATACAGCTCTAAATGGGGTGTCTCCTTAAAAGTCTCTCCCCTATAGAAAAGGATGTGGAAAGAATTTTATATATATCAACATACATTAAAATATACTATTATATGACATATAATGAATATGTAATATAAAACATAGTAATACATAACGTAATTTGTTATTGATTCTTTAGGAATTTTACATCATGAACCTTATCACACTAACCTCCCAGTCTCCCCATGTCTGGCCCTCGCCTATGCAGTGTGCCCCACAAATGAACCTCCAAATTGACTAAAAAATATATCTTGCTTCTCCATCTTTCCTGTGTTTTCTATACCTTGTATCCACATTAATAGTATTGGGAGTAGTTGTGTGTCATGCATTATATGCTTTTATCCAGTCAGTCCTACCTGCAAATGAGTCATTGGTCTTGTTCAAGGCCTCTAACCTGTGCCACAGAAGCATCACTGGACCCTCACTAAAACTCATGCCAGCCATCCTGCTGTTGCTTTGAATCATGGAGATCTTACAGCTATCATTCAGCAGTACCAGTCCCTTCACATGCCCTCGCTGGTCATAGATAGGGTAGATGTTAGGGTTGGCCAACCTAAGCCAATGTGTGGGTCTTGGTGGCAGCTGTGCTGGCCACTGGGACTGTGCATCCCTGAGGTAAGAGGCACAGCTAAATATCCTAGACCCAAGCCCCTCGATCTGGGCCAGTTTTCTCAAGCCTGTTTTGAGAGCTGAGCACATCTCTTCTAAGCATAGGTATCATTGCTCCCGTGAGGGGCAAGATCTGTTCTCTTGCCAGTGTCCAGGGAGGAGTAGGGCCAGCTATCCAAGAGCCAGTGAAGGGCAAGGCCAGCTTAGCACATCTCTCAGACATCAACTTGCATGTTTCCTATGGTCCCCCATGGTAACATGGGTCACAGACATCAACACAGACCCCAGGTGCAGCAGAACCATGTATCCACTCACAGATACTGAACAAGCAGGCACAGTGCTTACACAGGTCTGAACCAGGTCCTCTCCATATATATTGTAGCTTTTCAGGTAGTATTTTTAAGACACTACCAAGTATGTTGGGGGTGGGGTGTCTAATTCTTGTGGCTCCACTTGAAGATCTTTTCCAGATGTTGGTTTGCCTTCTCAAATTTGACATGGTAGTTTTTGCTGCGTCTTACTGTCTTTTATTTTGTTATGATTTCTTGTTACCTTTTAGAAGGATGATGTTTTCTAATGAGAGGCAGAAAGAGAGTTGATCCAGAGGGAGAGGAGGTGTAGAGTAACCGACAGGAACTGTCTATCATCCACTAGCAGCCATTCATTCTGCTAATGTACTGAGCCTTTCCATCAAGCATGAAGCTGTCCTAATCTCACAAAATTATATTAAAAGAGAGTTCTTCCTGCTCATTAATGAATCATAGATGTAGAGTGCAGGTAGAAGAATAAAGAAGCAATTTTCTATTTATTCATTTCCTATGAATCCATGGAAAAGAATAGTGCATCTACCTATGCAGGCAGAGTACTAGGACTAGGAAAATTTTCTATTTCAATTAGTGCCTAAAGTTACCAATGAATATCTTTAAAACATGAAGTTTTGTCAAATTTTTGTTTTTATATATGCATATATATCGAAATAATGAGGAACAGAAATCATTTTTAAATATACTCAAGTTTCACCCTAATTTTTCACATTTCTTTTTCTGTGTTTAAAACATCAGATCTTATAGATACCAAATTTGATAAGAAAGGGCAAAAACATGGTATATCAGAAACAGAGAATAGAACACAAAATGAAAACCATCTTCCTCAAGACATTAATTTCTTACAGGACCAGTATAGTCCTAATGAGCCAGGAATTTCAAATCCTGAGAAACAATATGGTTGCACTGTCTCATTTCCCAGACACGTTTATAATTTCTTTCCCTTTTTTATCTCCTGCTACTGATAGAAGCATAAAAGTCTCTCCTATATTTTCTATAATGATTAAGATAAATATTCAAGACAGATTATGTTATTCTATTCTTACTGGAAATGAAAACCCTGCTTCCTCTCCAACATATTATGGTATGCTGTTTATGATATGCATGCTCTTTTGAAAAGAAAACAAATCATTTTTATTGAAGTCACTCTCATGTTTATTTCAGATCACCATGAGAAGAGCCTCATATGTGGTAATACGGCGTGACTTTGTAACTGACATCAAGGAAGGCATCCCTATGCTTGACAGCAAATCATTATAATATGCATTAGTAGCAGGAGATTTGTGTAGTCTGTGTGATGGGTTAATGAACTAAACTACCACATTAGGAGACCATAGTTCAAATTATATGTGCCCCTTATGCTTATATGCTGTAAATGGTTATTCCATGATGTCAAGTTGTCTTTTTCTCTTTAGCCAGCTTGAAATGGAGGTGACTGCTCACATTAAGGTTTAACTAAAACTTGGCAATTTGAATATTTCAACCACATTTAAGTATCCTGGAATTTAAGACTTAATAAATTTCCCGAGTAATGGAGATAGAAGCATGCCTATACTTTGAAACGATTCATTTGGTCCATAACTCAGCTCTGAAAAAGCTGACATTGTAGATAAGAACAACTCATGAAGAAATCATGAATAGTTTCTAACTAAATGGATTTTAATTTCAGTTTAGAAAAAAGCAGTGATGAAATGTTTGATAATTCAGTTAACACAAATGACATAATTCACAACATTTATTGATATTAAAGTATAGTCCCATTTTTGAGACTAATATGCAAAATTGTGTACTTACAAAAATTGTTTAGGTTAGCAAATACTCCTGCAGTTTGATTTCTTCAGTTTTCAAGAATAACTCAATATTTAAATACTTTTAAGATACAGCATGGTTGAAATTGAGACAAAAATTCATAGGTGGTTTTCATTTAAATTATATTCATGTCATAAAATTAGTGAAAGTCAAAAAAGGGAGGTCACAATGAACAAAGTCTATGTCATAAATTCCAGAACTCCTGTAAAATCAATTTGCTAGTTTCTGTCTACTGGAAGTGATTCTTCCCACCCTTTAGTAGTTATGTCTATATAACCGATCTGATAAAGGAAGATGGATGGTATGAGATACGATGTAAAAGCAAGCTTGGTCTTGTAAGTAGATAGCAGCTTTTTAATTACTTAAATATGTACATTTGACACTAACTTGCAGGTACTTAGTACACAATCAGTGTATAGTGCCAGTGATGCCAAAAGCTTAAGAATATTATGTAGGATTTGTAAACACATCATACTCAGTTGGAAAGTGAAAGAGAAATTATTTCACGCATTTTAAAAGGAGTAACAAATCAGTATCTTCTGGATGGTTAAGAGGAGATCTTTAGAAGAGCTGATGCAACTTGGTTCTGAAGATGATGCATGAGAGAAGTACAGATGAGCTGGTCCTAAATATGACAATCTTGGATTATAGGTAATCTTTCCACAAGCATTCAAAGGAAATAATCAAGCTCCCATCACCTAGACACATCCATGCATTGAGCAGTGTCTTTTATAAAGGTCTATGTTTTAACATATGATGTTTTCTAATCATTGCTAAACACTGAAAGAAATATGGCAGGAACGATTATAATTGGAGTATTGGCATGATGGGATTATCCCAGATAACTCACCTTATTCCAATGTAACTACACACAGGTATTGAAAATAGGGGTAAATAATTAATGGTAGAAGGGAGCACTAGAAATTGAGAATGGCCCGGAACCATTTTGGGACTGTTTTTCTTTGTTTCTTTCTGGATTGGTTTTGTTGTTCTTTCTTTTTGGGTTTGTTTTTCTTTTTTTCGAGACAGGGTTTCTCTGTATTGTTTTGGAGCCTGTCCTAGAACTTGCTCTTTAGACCAGGCTGACTCTACCTCCTGAGTGATAGGATTAAAGGCATGCACCACCAATGCCTGGCTTTGTTTTGTTTTTCTTAAGAGACTCAGAAGTTGCTAGTGTCAATGTCATCTCAATATCAGATATTAAATACATACTGATATCCCACTTCGAAAATTTTAAGCTTTAAAATTTTTGTTGGTGGCTAGAAAGATATCAATGTTGAAAGGCGCTATCTGTTCCGTTTTAAGACCCAAGTTCAATTCACAGCAACCATCATCAGCTCATTACTAGAAGTCTGTTACATCAGGAGACCCAACATTTTCTTCTGACCTCAGTGGCAATCAGGCTCTCATATGGTGCCTGAACAGACACACACACACACACACACACACACACACACACACACACACACACACAAACACAGACTCGGGCAACGCATACACACATTTAAAATAAAATACCAGAATTAGAAGTTGTTAGTATTTTTGTGCCATTGCATGTTTAGTGATTTGGTGCAACAGGGATAAGGAGCTAATATATTATCATTCAGCGTCCTGGATAATCTGTTAGTAAATAAGCTGAATGTTTTTGGGAGGACATGGATAATAGAAAGGTGGAATAGGCTGAAATGAAGAAAACTCCCAACAAATAATCTATTGTTTCACTCAGTCATGAATAATCTATACATAGTCTGCATATAGAATCTCTTTAATCTCCCAGTAGATTCTCCCAATTTTTGCCTACTTTAAATCATGGATCTCTTTTGCATACATATCCAGACACACAGAGGGAAAGGAGTGAGGGGACAAAGTAAAGGGAGGGGGAGGCTTATTTTATTTTCCTTTGTTGAGAATTTTTTAACAGGCTGGTCTTAAATATGTTATGTAGCTGAAGATAAACTTTTTCTAACCCTTCTGCTTCTAATAGACAGGTGGCTAGAGAACAGCTATGTGCTGATATGACCTGTTCCTGTGTATTGCTTTTCTTTCTCTATTATAGTCACTGGAACTTCTTCTATTAATTTTCCTATACCATGTTTATGGCCTTTTGTTTGTTGCATGCATAAAGTTAATTAGATAATGCAAGTTTTACATTTAAGTCAAAGACTATACATCTGAGCTGGGCATTGTTAGTGCATGCCTTTAATCCCAGCACTCAGGAGGCAGAGGCAGGCCTCTGTGAGTTCGAGGCCAGCTTGGTCTACAGAATGAGTTCCAGGACAGCCTCCAATACAATGAAGAGACACCCTGTCTTGAAAAACAAAACAAAAATAGACTATACATCTGAGGTTTATACATTGATTCAATGAATGTGAAAACCAAACATCCACACTAGAACTAATCTGATCAGATTGCTACAAAGTTCTACAAAGACAGGGGGAAAAAGTCTATCAGACATTTACATTGAAAATGCCAAAGGCTCAGGGATATGTTTTGAATTAAGAGGCAAAAAAACAAAAACAAAAAAAACGTGACTTTGGTTCACCAGCCTAGTGTAAATGCTGTTTGAATTTATTTTGTGTTGTCTGTTCCGTTTGATTCAAGGCATCCCTTTGAAGGATAACCTTACTTAGAACTCTGCACACCTAGGTGGCTTTGCTACTTGTGGCAATCCTTTTGCATCACCCTCAGGAATCCTGGGGTTACAGCTGTGAGCCTTCACACCTGCCTCTGCATAAACAAGTTCTCACTAGAGTGAATATTTTTGATATTCATTTGCAGTAAAACCAAAGAGATCCTGATGCTTCCTGTGAAGAGGAGAAATTATCCTCTTACCTGCTCATTGCTGATAGACAAAATAGAGAATTACCTTTTATAATAAATATATATGAATATAATGTACACATAAAACCAGTCTCTTTACTAGTGTGCATTGATGTAAAATTTAGGAGCCATTCTTGCACTGTTTATCATCTATTTGTATATGTATCTTTTTAGCTGGAACACAATGTTTTAATATATATTTCCATTAATGTCAATTTATTCTCATTACCTCCCTCCTATTTTAAAATCCTCCAATTGTATTTACACATTCGTGTGTCTGTGTGTGTGTGATTGCATGTGTGACTATGTATATACTGACTTTGAGAATTATTATCGAAAACCTAAATTCCTAGTTTTCAACATCCCAAAGAGTAAGGTTAATTTTAAAGAAAATAGTCTTGAAAAACACATTTCTACATGATGCCTTTGAATTTGTGAATGGATAAAAAATAAACATACTAAAATATCCATTTACACACAGCATGTTCATTGAGAAAAAGAGAATGAAACATGAATTTCTGTCATAACAAAGATTAATCCTAAGTGCATGATGTTGTTAAATCAAAGAAATGCAAAACTCTACATAACTGAATGATTATGTTAAAAAATTAATCCAGAAAAAGGAAATCAGAGACTGACAGATAGCAAGAGGAAAAAGTGTGTGTGTGTGTGTGTGTGTGTGTGTGTGTGTTTCTGTTCTGCAGAAGAAAATGGTATGTGGAAATGTAATGAAGAACACTTAACTCTGGTGTATTAATCAATATTGGAAAAGCTTGTAACATACATGTTAAATAGTAGTTGGTCTAAATGTAAGAATAAATGTTTTATGATACCTCAAGAAACTAGACAAACTTTAAGAAAACAATTTAACTGAGTTACATGACTTCATTTTAGTGAGAAAGAGTGTGGTAGTTAAGGAGATGAAAATATAAGAGTACAGACTATGAACTACTCCTAAGTACTCTATGGTAATTGAAAAACATTCTGTGACGTTTTATGTTAACATTCTTTTTAAAACACTATCTTTTTTCCTTTTTTCAATTAGAAAAAAATCTTATTTATATATTGATCCCAGTTCCTTCTCCCTCCCATTCTCCCATGCCCCCAACAGATACCCATCCCATCACTCTTCTGCTCCATAGAAAGAGTGATGCCTATTGAGGGATCATCAAAGTCTGTCACATCATTTGGGGCAGGGCCTAAGGTATCCTCTGTATCTAAGGGAGAATGAACAAATAAACAAAGGGATAAATGAATATGGGAATCAAGTTTCCATGGATGAACGTAAAAGGTGATAAAAAAGAGAAAAAGTCTAGAATAATACATTGATGCTGAGTTAGAATGGGAGATATTGTATGTAATGGAAGTATGTACATACACGCTCAAAGACAGAAACGTTTAATAAAATAGCAACAGCAAAATAGCAAAAAATTCAAATTAATAAATAATAATTTAATGATTGTGTCCAGTTTATGATAGACATATCTGCATTCCCATAGTTACAGGAACAAATTATTAGGTAAATAAACATGGGGCAGTAATAAATAAATCTTTGCACAATTTCATATAATTTGTGTATGTGGATACTGAATACTGAATGGAGTGGACCTGTCCTCCATTTTAATGAACAGGTTGGGCTTATTTTTTCTCTTAGATGCAGAAAAGAAACAATCTCTTTGAGATGGACACATCCAGTGGGAAACTACAGTCAGTTGTTACAGGGAAAAGTAAATAGCAACAAATTATGCTCATGCTGTATTTCTCAATATGGCTTGCTGAAATAGATGTTTTACCTTTAAATCTATTAACTCAGCCCAATCACATGAAAAGTACTGGACAATTACCTTAAATGGCAGACACACTACAAAATAGTGAAAAGAAATCCATGATGTTTGCAACATAAAATGGGCAGGAGGAAATCTGATAAAACATCCCATTACAGTGGTGCCTAAATTCTTTGGATGAGTAAATACAATCTACGTTCTATTGAGATTCTGAAACAAAATAGTCAATAGACATCAGGTAAGAACTAATCACTTAACATCAACATGATAAAGGTTTTGGAGAGATCAGGAATAACAGGAACATACCTAACTATAATAAAAGCAATACACAGTAAACCAACAGCCAACATCAAAATAAATGGAGAGAAACTCAAAGAGATTCCTCTAAAATCTGTAAAAGACAAGACGGTCCAATCTCTCCATGTATTTTCCACATTGTACTTGAAGTTCTAGCTAGAGCAATAAGACAACAAAGGAGATCAAGGGGATACAATTTTGAAAGGAAGAAGTCAACATTTCCCTATTTGCAGATGATATGATAGTTTACATAAGTGACCTGAAAAACTCTACCAGAGAACTTCTACAACTGATGAACACCTTCAGCAGACTGGCAGGATGCAAGATTAACACAAAAAGAAATCAGTAGCCTTACTATATACAGACGATAAGTAGGCTGAGAAAGAAATCAGAGAAACATTGTCCTTTAAAATAGCCACAAACAACATAAAATA